TTATTCTTCTACTTGATTCAATTATTTAAAATATATTAAATATCGCATCAAGTGATAATCATTTTTTGGACGATTATAGCTCTAGTAAAGTTCAATTATTTCAATAATGTCTTAATTTTCGTTTTGCAGTATGTATTTAATTTACAAACTTTAATAAATACTACAAACATTGTTCATGTATGTATAAATGGTAATAAATACTATAAAATCATTGTTCATGCATGTAGTTCCCTGATATTAATTCTCAAATAATTAACATTCACATGTATTTACTTAATATTAATTAGAATTTCACATTCAAAAATGCAGTTTACTATTCATATCAATATAATCTAACTAGCATCCAAATTCACTAAATTGAAAATTGAATTATATTCATTTAGTATAAATTATTTAACATTCATTGTCATGTATATATTCCTTGGTATTAATTCTAAATTAATTAATATACACGTTAATTCATGTATCGTATTTATCATTCATCTTCATTTCTGCATTTAGCTGTAATTCTAATACTCACATTCAAGCATGCATTTTATTATTTACGTGCAAGTATTATAATTAACATTTATTTTCAAAAATTTGTATTTCTCTCATATTTAGATCAAAAGACTAATTGGATGGTCAAATATTACTTTCATAGCACTTATAAAGCATTTTAGAATAACGTGCAAAGCACGTTCAACTCTGATTAGTCTTATCAAATAGCATAGAAACCTTTGAATTCTTGATAGTAGTATTAACTAACTTCTCGCGTAAATCACACAACACTCATTTGCCATAAAAAAGCAATGATCATCTTTTTAACAAACCAACCATTCATATGATTAAGTTGAAAAGAGAAAAAGACTATCCAACTACAAAATGAAATCTACAATATGTTTCAACAATGTAAATTTAGTCCTTATTTGGTGGAGATTAACATCAAAATTTTAATAATTTTTGATAAAAATTGATGAAATATGTAATTGTGAATTTTATGAAATATGTAGTTAAAACTAATAGTCGAATTACATTAAAATGTGTGATTGCCTATGCTTGATCGCCTACCAAGCATAGGCAATAGTGAAATTAGATAATGGGTGAGTTTAAGATCCCGTGCCAACTTTCACAAATATGCATTAGCATGAATCTAGCTTAGACATCAAAAAATTAAAATTAGCAAAATAAATTATTTTTGTTATTCTATTCGGTCCGTCAATAAATTTATTAGATGATTCAGTATAAAATTTAACAATCACAAAATGCTTTGTCAATGTTAGGTTACTCCATCTTCTATAACTCGTAGTATTGAGATTGTATCGATATCATGAGGTACAACTATTTGTAATGTGATAACCTTTGCAAATTGTAAATTTTTATCTACTTTTAAATAAAACGGCGTATATTATTCAAATGTTTCATCTGGGCAAAATGTTCACTGAAATTCAAAACTATCGTTTAACAACAAATCATGGTGTACACATGTTCGGCGCCAACCAGCAGCTAGAGGAGACCTTCTAAAACACTATTTTGTGCAAAAGATCGAAACTAGAGGACCATGGCATGTCGAATAGGTCATATGTTGATGTACCCATACATATAATGTTGCAACTAGTATAACTTTCGCGTCTTTGCATAAGTTAATTAACACGTGTGTAAACACAAAAAACTGTTGTGTCCATAACCAGAGGCGATTCAATAAATATTGGACCAAGGGCAATCGGTGATTCAAATGGAATTACTTATAATAATATTTTAAGTGATCATCGAAACATTTTCATTAACAATTATCAATCGTAATTTCGTCAGTAATGTTATCGATGCTTTGTTGGCTGATCACCATCAGGCAAGTCATCGATGTCACAAACAAAAGCTTATTCGTTCTTTACTTTCTTTCGTTTTTAAAAAAAAATATTCTGTTTTTGACTTTAATTTTTATTTATAGTCTTATCGTTGTATAAGTTTTTTAACTATTATTTTATTTTCTAATGGAATTCACCCGCGTTAATACTTATATTTTATATATTTTTACTTTTAATAATTTGTAGAATTTCCCACAGCCGAAGAGGGATGTTTGTCAGTTGCCGAAGTCCCAATGGCAAAGGCTATTGAAGTGGTCCCATTTGAGGCGACGAGTAGCTGCAGGTGCTGACAACAACCCCTCACCACAATTCGAACATATTGATCCAACTGCCGACCCCATGAGGTCGGGGGAAATGCTGCAGATCCCCATGAGGAGGAGGGAAAATGTATTTCTCGCACCAATCCTTCGACGCGGCGGGCTGAAGGCTTTTTCTATTTTCCTTTCCCTTGTAATGCATTTTTTCTGTTAAATAAGAATTTTTGTTCAAGTCTTGGTGTTCTTAATTCCGCTTTCCTTTGCCAAGGAGTAAGTTTTGAGCGGTTTCCGTCATACTCATGGTCGTCTGTGGGCCCAGACGGCCACACAATGGTCTGGGTATCTGGCCGCGGATGGTGATTCGGGTGTCTGGGTCATTCTAATCTAAGGGTATATGTTTCTTTTACATTTTGAGAAGGTTATTGTGGTGAATAAAAAATAAGTTAGACTTATATGATGAATGATAACTTTGACTTGACCATTTAGAAAATGCGGCCGAACTTTTTTTTTCTTTTTTTTGTTGTTAAATTCACCAATGACTACTCAATTTCATACTTATTATCACGTTGGACATCTAATTCAATTTTGTTTCACTATGACCATCCAACTTCATACTTAGTGTAACATTGACCATCCAATTTGATTTTATTTCACTATGGTTCTCCAACTTCATACTTAGTTTCAATTAAGCCACCCAATTTGACTATGTTTCACCATGGTCGCCCAAAATTTGTTTAGTCACGTATTTTTGAAAATGAATTTTAAAAAAGTTAAATTTGCCCATGTTTTTTAAATGAAATTTTAAAATTAAAAATTCTAAAAAACAAAATTGTAAAAAAAATAAAAATAGCTCAAGCTCCTATTAATTACTTAAATTTTCAATTTACACCGTTAATTTTATTTTTTATTTCCTATAGTTTGTCAAGTTAAAAATTTTACTTTTCTTTTGTAGCAAGAACAAAATATTAGAAGATTCACAAATTTCAAAATGTACGCATTACGCAATAGTATATCAACATAAAATTGTTATACTTTATTGAATAATCAAATTTTATAGAATAAAATATCATAAAATAATTTCAAACTAAACATGTTTTTTATTTTTTTTATTTTGAGAAACATTTTTTTTTTTTAATGACAAATCAAACACATTTTCGTAATTTTAAAAAGGGCCTCATAATATTAAAAAAAAAAAAAAAATTAACAAACGGGCCCTTGAGATTCTGCTTTTTGGTCACGAGACTTCTTAGGATTGTGGTAAAAGTTTAAAGGGATAGATATTGATAGTACACCTGCTACTCACTGATATATAAGTACAATCCTTGGTTGTACACTGATAAATATCATCTGTCCTCTGTGCTGTCATATAATTGGCAGGCCAGAGACAACCAGTCACGATCTAATGAAAAATTCCAAATTCCAGCTTGAATTCTGCAGTGTTTGTGCTGTTGAATGACCTTAACAAATGGCTACAAATAGAAGTATAGAACCACGTTGATTGGAATGAATATGGAGGGTTTTGTAAGGTTATATCGTTCACTTGATATGTGTCGTTACGTATAAATATTTCCACCTTGATATTCCTCCTCGAAAGCCATTGTTTAATTAAAAACCATGTTTTCCTAATGACTATAGGCACTAATATGAAAATTTTAAAGCTCCGGCATTCGACATATTCAAAATAGTAGAACCTCGTCTTCAATATTGAGCAAAAAGATCGCTAACGATTTCCATCCTTTTGGAAGTCAAAATATAAGGACGTCCTAACGAAAAGATAAGGATATAATGTTTTTCTAAACAAAAACCTGACTCAGGGGGGCGGGGGGGGGGGGGCGGGGGGGGGGGGGGGGGGGGGGGGGGGGGGGGGGGGGGGGGGGGGGGGGGGGGGGGGGGGGGGGGGGGGGGGGGGGGGGGGGGGAGAGGGGGGAGAGGGTTGTAATTTTCCAAACCAAGATATCTTTTAAGAAACTGTAATTTTCCAAACCAAGATATCTTTTAAGAAACTCAGCATCAATACTATAGAATATTTGTTGGGATAATTCTTGTTGAACAGCGCCATCGCAGGCGCCACGTCACCCCCGTGTTTGAACAGGGCCCCCCCTGTTTGAAACAGGGCCTATGAGGCCCCTGCTCATGTAGCATGATTCATATTGGTTGGTCTGCTTGTGAATATTACAGTAGCAGGGTAACATGTTTCCCTTATGGTAACCTATCTCGTGGTGGTGTCTTCTTGCTCATTATTTAGTGGATGTAATTATGAAGCTTTTTGGAATTTGTGTTAATTAGGCAACTTCAAATGGTAGATACCAGATGCTCTTTTTCCATTATGATAAAACAGGCTAAAAATTCATCTTGAAATACATTGCTTAAAAAGTACTGGAATACATGTACACTAAGCTAATCATAGGAACATTTAATCCATGTTTGGCTCATGTTTATAAACTGATTATAACCACTCGAGCAACTTTTTATCCATACATTTAGAGAGATTCACAAGCACTACCAATTTATTCACCACTCATTTCTATCTATTTATAAACACTTCCCAAACATGATCTAATCATACAACAGTCGAGATTTTCTTCAGGTATAACTTTTGTGCATATAGAAATACTTCACAAAAGCAACCATCATCAAGACCATCCATAATATAAGACAATGCAAGGCAAATCTAATATATTTATGCATGAAGATTCTGGTGTTCTGGTTGGATAAAATGAAAAGAAAAGGTTGTACAGTAGAAATCCAGACGAATATATGGATTACATATTTGCAACAATTTGCAACATTAAATAATTAGAGATGAGCTGGGAACCATTTTATAGAGAATAACATATTGACACAAACAATAGAGTTGTAAATTAAATAAACTAGGCAAGTTACCAAAATGTAAGTCTCCTCAAAGTCTACCCGTCAATTCAATCACAGCATCTTCCACAAGCTCTTCTAGCAACTTCCCTTCAATTTCCTTTCCTAAATTATCAATCTCCAGTCTCAAATGATCAGTCCAACCCTTTCCCACCACCTCCTTTCTTACCACATACTCAACCACCAAGCTGTCGTCGTCCCCACAATCGACCAAAACATATCTGGAGTCACCAGAAAACCATATTTTCATCCTGGCCCACACCTGGTCCACCATCATCAATGATCCATTCTCCAATGAGCTACTACTGGCCCCAATGCACGGAATGGCTCTTTGGCATGAAGCCGATCCATATCCTACAATGTCCACTAATGCTGCGTTCACACAATCAAACACAAGTTTACGGGTCGATCTCTTTCGCCTTCGCTCAGCCTCATGTAGTGTCTCTTTCTCATTTAAATCTATGTACTTGTCTCTTAATGATGGGTTCAATGGGCTCTCTGGTGAGTGCCATCTAGCCAAAAATGAGTCAGGTTGCTCCTCAACATCAAGTCCAGCCACTGAGAATAGTGTCTGAACCAAGAAAAACCATTCTTCTTCCTCTGCTCCAGGGGAGGGTAAGGATGGTTTTAAGGGATATGAAGATGTTGTATCCATAACCAAATCATTAGACGGTAGAGTCCAGGCAATAGATCCTATCGGTGGTGATTTATCAATCAAATTTGATCTAAAAGGACGAAATGGCAACTCAAGTCCTGTTTTTCCAAAATGAAAAGTAAATAAACTAAATAAAACAACATATCAAAAAATAACATGGACATGTGAACCGGACAACAAACTTTACCATGACAGCCAGGCTTGATAAAACGTGAGGACCCCAGCGCTGTATGTTCATCTTCTTCAAAATTTGGATCTAGGACTGATATTGGACTAGGATGGTCCTGGTTCTCATTTGGGTTTACACGTGCAACAGGTTTTGTCACAGAGAGTCCACTCTGAAAAGGTAGAAAACTGTTAATGATGTCCCAAGTTTTCCCAGTTCACGATAATATGAACATATGTTAGTGAAATTACTACTATTTCAAGCTAAAGAAATCATCGATCAGGAAACTGCCCTATGGAAAGCAGAAGAAAACACGTAATCAGAACTCAATGTGCATCCCTTTCGTCCTTCGGATATATAACTGCAACTCCTTTCCGATTAAGAAAATCTGAATTATTATCTATTCCTATCATCTGGTGGATTACCATCTTTGTAACTCTTGTTTATCATAATCTTATAGTGTAGTACAAATTACTGGTCACGGCAACCGGTAATATATACCTAAATATTCATCAACCTAAACATTGTCTTGGTGGAAGCTGTAAGAGCACTTTTGAAGGCCATCCTGTTTGAGAATGTAGAAAGTACGAGAATGCGAAGGTCAACAAAAGCACTTAGATAGTTGTAAGCATTTCGTAAGGAGAAAAAATAATCAATCATATCAAAACAGCGAGCACAGAAGCTTTTCATGTTACTGATTCACCATATCAAAGCAAACATCAAGTAACAGACTAAAAAAAATTCAAAGGAAAGATGGGACTTAGCCAACCACGAATATAGTAAAATTACCTCAGGAGATGTCATGCCCTGCTGGCCAATTAAATTTGGGCAAGCTGCTTTAATTGATGGATCCTGCTCAACAGGCGACAGACGTTCAGGCCCTTCATCACTAAGTCGTTCACCTCTATCTTTGCCTACTTGCCCAGGATGTATTCCTGAGGAGCGAGATTCATCTTTGCATTCAGATTTATATTTACTAGGTTTGTTGTTTCTTGAGAAAAACAAACTTGAAACCTTCACTTTGAATGATGATTTTCCACTTCTTGTCTTTGTGGCTTCCTTGAAAACCTCTGGTTTGCCTCCATCTGGATCTGGAATGTCTACATTGAGCCTGGTGCCAAACTCGGCAGAATATACAGGGACAGATTTTGACCTTGAGAGATTCCTAGGAGAATTATCAAGATTTTCATCCTTTGTTTGCTCACTAACAAAGAGAGAATCAGAATTCCTAGGTTCTTCACTAGTACTACCTAGTTCTTTTGACGTTCCAGCCTTCTTTGTCTCAGAAAGAGCAAGCATTTCACCCAATGTGCTTGAGCTTCTCCGCACAGGTCTTTGTTCTTGAAAGCTACCGTTAGATGTCATCATTGCCCATCTTTCAGAGAGACGCCTCTTTGCTTCCCTACAAACTGATGACTCTGGAGAATATGATACATGGCTAAATGAGGACGAGTAAGGGCTACCAAACCTATTAACATAATCCCAAGAGTGCCTAGATACAGGTGATATGACTTCTGAATCACTGAGATTACCGTCTGCATATTCAATTTCCGATTTATTAAATGAACTTTCATCGCCGACATATCCATTGGAGAACACAGAAGAAGGCAAGGTTTCATCTCTGTAGCACATTTCACGCATCTTCTGAGTGATTGCTTTTGCGACTTCTTTTGATTCTTGTTTCTCGTCATCTTCTACATCCCCAAAAAAGTCTTCACCATGTAATATCCTTGGTGATTCCAATTGTGGAGAATCAAAAGCTTTTATATCTTGCGATCTCACTGAGCTTGGCTTCAGAACTACTATTCGAGTTGGTTGAGTGGGAGTTTCGTTAATCTTCTGTCCCGATGGTGGGGAACATCCCAGATGGCTTTTTTCCAATTCATTCAACTGTCCCACATATGCACCTTTCTTCACCTGTTTTCCATCTTTATTCCCAACTGCAGCAAAGTTGCTACTGTCTGCCATCTTTGAAGGTCTAAGAATGGTAATTCGCTTTGTCTCAGAAGGTGGGATAGACTGCAGATTGTAAAGATTCTGTGAAAACATTGAATTTGGTTCTTGCAGACACCTAAGAAATAAGTCTTTATTGGAATTCAAAACTTCTAAGGCATCTCGGAATTGCTTTGACTGGCGGAGTTTTTCATCCATAGACAGGCGTTTTGCTTCAACAAACTTCTGGCGAACGAGAGCCATCTTCTTGTCATTTGAAGTTTCATTATACTTTCCTTTTTGGGGTGATTTATCCCGCAAATAACTAGTTTTCTGGGATTTCCTCCGTATTTCATAAACATCACTGCATTCATTTGGCTCTATATATTCAAAGAATCCATTCTGTTGCTCCCAGTAACTCACTGGTATATCTGAATGACTTCGAGGATGACCTCTAAAATGGCTTTGTTGTGCAGCTGAATCAGGTTCCTGGCGTGGAAGGGCATCAAGACCCATCAACTTAGCAACAACATTAGGCGGACCGTGTTTGGAATCTACTTCTTTGGACATTTCTTGGGCAATGAGCATCTTTATGGGCGTTGTATTTGATTTTCTGTTTGAACCAGTTCTGTAGATTTCAGGCACAATCTACACATCTCACACCAATGCACAATATAATTAAATATCGAAGAAAATTAGCAAAATGTTTGGGGGGATAAACTACACTCTTAACTTAGTAATATAAATAGAAATATACCTCTTTGTCCTCTATTTGGTAATTAGATGGAGTCATCGATGCTTCATCTGCTTGGCTTCTTGAGAGTGGTGAACCTGTGGATAGTTAATATTGTGTCACAATGCAACCTTTCTATTGTGGAATTTATAATTAACAGCATAACAAATTTCCCAACCTTCAATCTTTAGAGGAAGCAAGAGACAGAACAAGGGAAACTATAACGACGAAAAACAAGTTCACATACCAAAAGTAACATAAGGTCAGTAAGAATTTTGTTTATATTTTATGTCATCTATATCTAGCAATTTGGACTCAAAAAATTTCCAAAAGAATTAAGATGTGCATTAGAAAACAAACAAATAACCAACCAGAAGAATTTTCAAAAACATGTTCCATAGCAGAATACAAATTAGAATTACTCAACAATGTCATCTAAAATTTATTACTCTCACTGTGAAATTTGTTAAAACATATAACCCAGATTTGGTGAAATTTTATGGTATTGAACATCAATATTTCTCATAAATAGTCTAATTCTGCAAGGAAAGTATAAATATGTTATGCAAGAAGGCAAAAAAAAAAAAAAGGAATAAGCACCATCTCGATGTGGTTTATCAGTGAGCAGCCTGTTTCCAGCCACCGCACCATTCAGGTCAAATAAGTTCACCATTCTTCCCAAGCATCCTGGAAAAGTTTTCTCAAAACTGCGATTTTTCCCATTCTGATGAATCCCGTTCATTTCAGTACCTTGTATGGCACACTCCACTGAAATAATGACACAAAAACATAATTAATAAAATAAAGAGAAAGTGGGAATAAAACAAGGTATATTGCAGTTTTCAACTCTAAAAATAGTTAGGTATGCAACCATAGGAAGTGTAAATTAGCTGTTTCGCAGTTGAAAGAAGCTGCTTTTGCAAAGATCCCCAATCCCCCCGATACACAGCCAAACTCATAAATAAATAAATGAAAACCAAAATGGAAAACTGAAATCACCCAGCAGCCAGCACTGGCAATGAAAAGGAAGAACAAATCAAAGTTTTGCTCTTTCATACCAAAAAAATTATCTTCACAGATGAAAATTCAAACCACTTGTACAAGAGAGTGAAAAGAGAGAGGGAGGATGAGAATGAGACGAAAAGACAGCTATCCTGAGGAGTCAATCACTGTACACTGCAAAAGAATTGCCTAGATTTATGCGAAAAAGGAAAGACTAACAAAGACAAGACCTCTGTATGTACACTGCACTATTAATGCAATTTTCAGTATATTCCCATGAAACCTTGCATCAATCAATTACATTCCTGAACAAACTCCAAGTCCCTCAAAATAAATGCAATTAAACTTATAGAATTGAAGCGTGATAAACAAGCTATAGATTTTCTTAAATTAACAGCAAAAAAATAATGATATTAAAAATTCAGAATCTCCTGCTTTTTTCCACCGGCCTAAAGAGCTCAAATATTTGAACCCAAATTCAGTGTACATAACATACACGTGTATGTATAGTTAAATCAGTACAGTTTCAATTTAGCAGTCATAAAGTTAAGATTAAATTGCAGCTTTAACTTTTAAAGCCTTTGGCAAAAATAATTGAACTTTTAACT